CAATACAGGTCTGCAATCAGTAAGTCAGCATGCATTTGGTGAAGCCTGTATCTCAATCTGAAAAACTAGTAAAAAGTTCTTTGAAAATATTCAGTTACATCAATCCATAAGACGATTTCAGACTTACGGTCCCAGGCAGGTGACTTGATATACTCTTGGACGAGGCTCTTGACGTAAGCATTTAAAGTCGACGTCTCGTGGAGTCCAGTAGAACTACCAATTGAGGCTCGTCTAAAACAGCTTTCATTAACACGCAACCAATCACAGAGCTGGAAAAGAAAACAGTTACTACTTTATTTTAAAAGACTCACTGAACAAAGGGTTTCTCGTATCTCTAAGTCAGTTTTCTTTCTTCCACAATTAACTGAATTTAAATGACCAAACATAACAAAGTAACAGAATGTTTATTATCATCACTGAGTTCCCAAGATAGTGCAGACAAGAAAAAGTATGTCTGTGTATATGTACATAGACATACGTGTGTGTGTGTTTTCTAATCTCCTCAAAGAATTCATAAAGTTCTTAACAGGAAAGAATTTTTAAAGCACCTAATATAAAATACATCTTTTGGGAAGGTGTTCTAAAGAACATCCCTCTGTGAAAAACAACATCATGCAAAGCAAATTACAACCTTAAATTAAAATTCATTCCAGCTTCATATACTCAAACAAGGATATGTTTGTTTTTGAGAGAACGTAGAATTTGAAATATAAGTTATAATTAAAGTTCCCGCCCTTCTTGCAAGTTTACTTTCGATCACATGTGCTTTTTAAAGCACAGCTGACTGCTGACCATGGGTTTGCACTGCACATGTCCACTTATACAGGGATATTCTTGCACAGCACAGGCTATGGTACAACACGACCCGTGGTTGTATGAGTCCTCGGATGTGGAGGAACCACAGACACGAGGCACCGTGGAGATGGAAGGCACCTTCTTAAAAAAACTAAACACACTCTTACCATCCAAATACTATGCTCCTTGGTATTTACCCAAATGAAAAGTTATGTCTTCACAACTGTATGTACATAAATGTTTATAACAACTTTATTCATAATTGCCAGGACTTAAAAGCATCCATGATGTCCTTTGGTTGGTGAACAGATAAACAATGGTCCATCCAGACAATGGAATATTATTCAGTGATAAAAAGAAACGAGCTATCAAGCCATGAAAAGACATGGAAGAGTCTTTTTTTTTTTTTTTAGGTTTTAAAAAAAATATTTATTTATTTTTGGTTGGGGGAGGTAAGTAGGTTTATTTAGTATTTATTTATTCTTGGAGGAAGTAGCGGGGATTGAACCCAGGACCTCATGTATGCTAAGCATTTGCTCTACCAGTTGAGCTATACCCTCCCCCCAAAAAACATGGAAGAATCTTAAAGGCATGTTACTTAGTGAAGGAAGCTAATCTGCAAAGGCTTCATAATGTATGATTCCCACTAAATGACTTTCTGGAAAAGGCAAAACTACAGAGGCAGAGGAGTATCAGTGGCTGCCAGAGGTTTGGGGCAGAAAGAGAAGAGAGGAGTGAATGGGTGGACGTGGGATATTTTGGGCAGTAAAACTATTCTGTGTGACACTATAATGGTGGGTACCTATCAAAGCCCACAGAATGTATAACACAAAGGGTGAGCCCTAATGTAAACTATGGATGTTGGTTAATAACAATATCTGAAGAAACAAAATGCAAAAAACAGAAAAACACATTTACTGAACATCTGGAGAAATTTAAACACTGAATATTTGACATCAATAAACGAATTAACATTTTTAGGTGTGAGAAGGGTCTGTTTCTTAGATCCTTTAAAATCCTTATCATTTAGCTGTACACATTTCTAGATGAAATAAGATTTGAAGCAAAAGTCCAACAAATGGAACTGATTAAATAAATTCTAAAATAGTTAATCAATTGAATTTTTATTTTATTTATTTTTTTAATGGAGGTACTGAGGATTGAACCCAGGACCCTGTTCATGCTAAGCATGTGCTCTACCACTGAGCTATACCTCACCCCTTCACCAACTGAATGTTTAAATATCACATACTGGAGAATTCTTTAGCAACATGCTGCAAAATACTCAAATGTATGTGAAGATGAAAAATAAAATTCAAAACAGTATAACCTTAATTTGCTTAGAAATATGCTATGTATTAAAATATCATTCAAAATAAGCAAGAGTGAGAATACACACATTCAAAAAATTAAGAATTAAACTAAAAAATATGGATTTGATGGCTGGCATTACAGGTGATTTTTACTTGCTTTCCACAGTTCCTAATTTTTCAGATTCCACCTAATTAGATGTACTATGATCAAAAAAATAAAGTGAAATTCAAACTTTTAAAGGCCCCAGGTAGCCCCTTCCTCACTCCCTCTGCCATTACCCTAACTCTACACCCTCATTATTTTGTGCCTGAATTGTGTTAACGTAGTTCAACCTGATTTCTCGTTTCTCTCTGTGCACCCGAAGCCAGAGGTGCTTTCTAAAGGAAATAATCACATCCCGAGTCTCAGTGGTCTCTTAGGCACTGGAGAAATACAAAATTAAAAAAAAAAAAAGGTTCCTGTCTTCAAAAAGTATATAACCTATAGAGGACACAGATTAGAATTCAGCCGAGTCTGTAACAGAGAAGTGCTAACATCAGTAGCATGAATTGAGTCCCCCATCCTCTGTTCAAAAACGAAGTGGAGGAGGAGGAAGGGGACTTGGAGGCCCTGCCCCGCGGTGGGAGCAGAGGAGGCTCTCGGGGAGGAAGAAGCCCCCACAGCGGAGGTGGCACCAGGGGAGGGTCTCCACTAGAGCAACGGCTGGAAACGGGGAAAGAGACTGAGGGTTTCACGGTGAATTCGATGCAAACAGTCAGGAAGAATCGTGAATTGGTCAAACGTCAGGCTTGGGGCCCTGAGCAGATGAAAGTGCAGTGAACGAACGGAAAAAGAGAAGGACGAGTCTGCATTTCTCACTGTTTCTGAGTCTAATGCCACCACTACTCCTAATGCAGACCTCACCCAGAAGTGAGATCTGAGCACTGACACCACCTTCTCCTCTAAACAGGGCTCCCTCTGTCCCAGACAGTTCCTGTCTCCCACTGGTCCACCAGAATCTTAGCAGCATTATTAGTTAGGTCCACTCAATTTTTAAAAATCTCTGTTGATAAGTAACAAAGCATCACTATATTTTATATAAAATGAATTCTACTAGGAACAGTTTCTCACAAAGTTTTCAAAAATCGTATTGCAATCTCACCTCTGTCCACAATGAAGTTTGTCGTCCCAAGCACTCCTCTTGCCTCACAGACATGAGAAAAGTTGAGACATCCGAAAGCGACACTTTCTCCTGGGGGCAGGGGACAGTGCAGTTTGAAAAAATCAAGTCATTTAAATTCTTAACTGTGTAAGAAATCAGTGTAAAAGGAATCTAGCATACTATTTAAAGTAGAACACCATTAGCTAACTCAAAAGCTATTTTTTAAAAAGAAAATATTACCCAACTTTTACAGTGAAGATACTGATTAAAAACAACCATTATATAAAACGAAAGATGACTTTGTCAACCTGTTTTCCTTAAAATCAAGGTTACCATCTTAGAGACAAGATGATCATAATCTAAAAGCAAAAACAAAAACATCCTATAAGAAATTACTTATCCCTTAAATCAAGTGAATTTGTGGGAAGGGATAAATTTGGGAGTTTAAGATTTGCAAATGTTAGCCACTATATACAAAAACAGATTAAAAAAATTTTTTTCTATGTATCACAGGGAACTGTATTCAATATCCTATAATTAACCTTTAATGAAAAAGAATATGAAAATGAATATATGCATATACATGCATGACTGGGACATTGTGCTGTACACCAGAAACTGACACATTGTAAATGACTGTACTTCAATAAAAATAAATAAATAAAAAAATTTTAAAAAGTGAACCCTACTTTTCAAAGCCACAAAAATGACCCCTGCCTTAAGAAACCCACCTACACCTTTTCATTCCCCTAAGATTGCACATCTACAGTTAAGATACCTGGCTGTAAGCCAGGGGCTGGTGTTGGCAAAGCCACTCACAGCCTATCATGTCAATAAAGTTTTACTGGGACACAGCTATGCGCATTTATTTATAATCAGTCTACGGCTGCTTTTGAGTCATTGTGACAAAGACAGAATGACTCGAAAAGCCTGAAATGAATGCTAGTCCAGTTCTTCACAAAAGAAAGTTTGCTGACCCCTGTTCTCAGCAATAGTGGGCTCTGTAAAAAATGCAGAATATAGTATGTATTCCTTGAATGTCAATTTACTGGAAGATATGGAGAAAAACACCGAGGAAACCAGGTGAAAGCCGCCCAGAGCCCTCCCCCAGCGTATCCCCTAGTTACCCCACCAGCTCGCACAGTGTCCACCAGGGGAGCTCAGAGACCCGGCGCCCGGGGGTTTTGGGGGCAGACGCCCTCTATATAGCACGTACCAGGGTCCCAGGCGGCCAGGAGGGACACCACTTCAGTATAAACCACACTGTTTGCATGAGCTCTTCGGGCGCAGTGCACCGCTCTGCAGTGGGCTGGGCAGCGGGAGCCCCCCCAGAGTCCCAGGTCCCGGTACCACCGAGGGCCAGCCCAACAATCCGGGCTTTCCAAGGACAGCAGCACAGGCCTGTCAAGCTATTTCATGAACACCCACCCACTGAGGAACACTTGTAAACTGAAGTTAACACAAGTGAAAACACAAACTCACCACATCTACCAGATTCATGGCCGTCTGAAGGAGATAGCACTGCGCCGCCCCTCTCAGCAGGATCTGATGTGTGATCATGGTGCACTGGAGGACGTCCCTGACACCGGAAAAACGCATGCACGTCATGGCCCCAAAGACCGCTCTGAGCACTTGTGAGCACTGACACCTGGGCTGGTACCGTCTACATTTCTAATGCAGAAGGTCACCGCCAGGAGTGTCTCAAAGCTGCTGTTTTCCACTGAGGCCTCGAACAGAGCTCAATTTTAATAGGAAACAAATCTCTTTTAAAAGTAAGACTATAAATGAAGATACCTTCAAAATAAGAATTTTACATTTTTTTCCAATACTTTGTAATTAATATTGCCATTGGATATTTTCTCTCTAGTTTCCTACATACCAATATAATCAAAACAACTTACTGTCCTTATTTTAAAGTGATCAAAATCCAACAGTATGTATTTATATAAATATAATATATCTAAATTCTTATTTATATATTTAAATTAGTATTTAAATACATTACATTTATATAAATATATTTAAATTGATATCTTTAAATTAGCATATATTAGTATACATATTATATATTAGCTTTATTTTTTATATATAGCTTTATATTATATATCATACATTAATATATATTAGTATATATATGTACAAATTAGGCATATATTTAAATTAGTAATTCATAAAACAAGTTCAACTATATAAATAATAGTTTTTTTAATTTACTTTTTTCTTGTATACAATTAACAGCTAAAAAAATGCCAATGCCAGTATTAACTAAAACCACTCACTATGGGTTAAAGCAGAAGGGAGAACAAAATTTACTAATGGAAAGTTTTGACAAATAAGCATATGTGAACACACACACAGTAAATTACCTGAGGGCGAGAAGGCCTTCTATACCCAGGGCTTTACATCTTGGGATGTTTGCCAAAGCCTTAGACAGAAACAGAATGGGGACAGCACACCAATGTCTACTTGTCATCCTCTGAATAAACTTTAACAGGAAACTACCTGAAAGAAAAAGTTTTAAGGAATCACTGTTGCCAATAAACACATGAAAAGATGCTCAACACCATAAGACATCACGCAGGGAAATGGAAATCAAACCCGTAAGGATGTAACTGCACAGCCACTAGGGCGGCGCTAATCCAAAGGACAGATAGTAACCACTGTTCACAAGGACGTGGAGAAACTAAACTCATTCACTGCCGGTGGGAATGCAAAATGGGGCAGCTACTGTGGAAAACAGGCAGCTCCTCTAAAAGCTAAACACAGAGTTACCATACGACCCAGTAATTCCACTCTTAAGTATATAACTAAGAGAAGTGAAAGACTATGTTCATACAAAAACTTGTTCTGTGAATATTCAAAGGAGTTATTCATAACAGTTAAAAGCAGAAACAATCCAAACATCTACCAACCGATGAGTGGATAAATAGAATGTGAAGTATCTCTGCACTGATTATTCAGCCACAAAAAGGAATAAAATATGAATACATGTTACAATACAGATGAATCTTAAACACATTATACTATGTGAAAGAAGCCAGGCATAAAATATAGGGCCACATACTATATGATTTCTTTTATATGAAATGTTTAGAATACAAAAACACATGAAGTTTTTTATATGAAAAATTTAGAATATATGAAAAATTTGGAATACAGACAAAGTAAATTAGCTGACAGGAGCTGGGGACATGGAGAATGAGATGTGACTGTTTATGGGCACAGAGTTTCCTTCCCCAGATGATGAAAATACTCCGGAATTAGTGATGATGGGTGTACAACTTTGTAAATATACTAAAAACCACTGAACTGAACAATTTAAAAGAATAAATTTTGTAGTATGTGAATTATACCTCAAAAAGGCTGTTGGAAAAAAAATCAACATTATTTCCATTTAATTCCTTATAGTAAGGTAAGTATTCTAGTATATTATAGAGATTCTAGTAACCATGAAGTTATATATATTTTTAAAGTTAAGGTAAAAGATACATTTTTTACTGTTGCAAGCCATTCTTCTGTTATAAATATTAAAAAAAAAACAAAACAAAAACAGGATAAATACCAAGGGTAACTGGCCTCTGGTATCTGCAAACAATAGTATCAGATCTTTCTCACAGGCTATTTCTTACCTCCCCTGGATCTAATCACTATAATTAAACCATTTTGAGATAACAAAGGGGTGGTGCTTTATTGTGCATTCTCTGCTGATGTGTGATACCTTAAGGACCTTCATGCCATGTAGTTAATGAAAATCTGACTGCTTCCTCAGATCATCACTGTAGAATGATTTTTAGGAAATCCTTGGGAGCTCCTGGAAGGGTGCTACCTGTATTTTATATCTCCCAAAGTGTCTAGCACAACACTGGAAATTGTTGACTGAAAATCAAACTACAAAGTATAAAGTGTAAGTAGACGTCTCACTTGCCCTCCCTTCTGGTGGACTAACACCCAACTCATGACACGAGGAACGTGGTAACAGCCAAGCTTCCATTTCACAGTCTTCACTTGGACAAGGGTCTACCAAGTGCCCAGCACCGCCACAGACACCAGGCCCCTAGGCTCTAAGGGGCGCTGACCACTATCCTCTCACCCACTGTGCTACGGGCAATGGGATCAGCAAATTCATCCCCAGACTGTAAACTTCCAAACTTACCAAGCTACAGAGTAGCTCTGACAGGTATTGTCTCCACTTTAATTTTTGTTTAATTAAAACAATCAATATTCTGTAAACCTAAAGCCGTTATTACACAGATGACCATCTTTTCCCTTTCCTGACTTTTGAATAGATATTACTATTGGTAATAATAAAATAACCAGGTTCACCCTGTTTGCACATTAAATACCAAAGAAAAAAATACATATATTTCATAGCAAGGCTCACAAAGCCCATAATGAAATAAAGATTTAGGAAGCAGAGTAAATCCTGTGGACCAGCAAGCAAAATAACACGGGTTTTGTGCTTTGTTTACCAACATATTTCATCAGCAAGAATAACACGTCTCCAGCCTGAAGAAGTGGGATATTTCTGGGACACAAGGTCTTACAAAAAGCAGTAATTTTTCCTTATCTTTCCGAGTCAGTACCTACAAAGGGGCAAGTCTGCCACAATGGATATTCTGTTTACAACTTTCTCCTAAGCCCAGGTTCTTTCTTTCTCCAAACTATTTTGCTGATTTTTGAAACTGAATAGAGACAATTAGAAAGAATGGCAAACTGTAGCACACATTAAAACACCGCTTCCATGGCACACCAATGAGGTAAAGGGTGTACTCAAAGTCCACGGACGCCTGTTCAATTCTGACAAAATCTCCAAATCCTGGAAAACGGAACTATCTTGACAATACTGATGGTAATAGTCATAGGATAGTGCTCATAATCAACAAATTAAAAATTTTAAAAACTTAAGCTAATAAATTAAAAAGAAACTCTTTGCAGACACATACTTTTTATTTCTTCTGGAAGAAGAGAAATGTAAGCAACTAAAAACTTCTGTAACTTCAGTCCCAATGGTGAACCACTTCCTATTAGCTGGCCTGGGGACCTATAGACAAATGGAGAAAAAAAAAAAAAAACTGAAATCTATTTACAAATAAGTATACTGAAACTAAATGCAATATGGCCCAAGTGTGTTTCAACAATAAAACTATATTCTTTTCCTGAATTTCATTTTATTTTTCAGAAAGATCTTGAGGCTCCTCCTGGTCACAAAAACATCCAGATCTCCCAGGAAAACGGAAGTGAGTGGTGTGCTCTATCTGAGCAGGCACGGACTTCCTTTTTATGGTACTTTCTCTGACACCTATATGTGAATCTTGCCAAATAGTATCATTTAAAAAAAGTCTAAAAGTGACAATTTAAAATTATATTTTACTGTTTCCAACCCATAATCCAATAATTTTAAAGAAATAACATTCATAGAAAGACGTAGGTTGGTAATAAATCACTTCTGAAAGAGCATTTAATTGTTAACATCTACTAAAGCTGTATTTCTTTCCTGCCTGCTATCCACTTTTGCCAGGAACATCACCTGTTACTTGAACAAATAAGTGTGCCCAGAAACTGAAGGTGCTACATAATGAACACGTCTGTCCGTGCCTTCAGAAAGCACCAAGCTGGTGTTACTGCTCTCCAGCTGTCTAACTGCTTCAGAAAATGATTCAATAGTAACAAAGTATCTGAAAACTAAAAATAATTTTCAAATCAACCATTGCTCTGCTCTTTC